AGCTCAGCTGCAGAGAAATTTTTCATTTGTTCTCTCTTGAAGGCAGCTTCAACGGGGCCAAGAGGTCCAAAGGAAAGCTAACAGAAGTTCAGAATATCTGGGCCTTTCTGAGCCCTCCTTGCACTGCCCCCTGTTAACAGGAGGACAATTCATGACAACTGGTACTATATGACCCTACCCAGAACATCTATGCCTTTCCAGGCCCACTCTCATACCCTTACTTCATTTGTTCTCTCTTGAAGGCAGCTTCAACGGGGCCAAGAGGTCCAAAGGAAAGCTAACAGAAGTTCAGAATATCTGGGCCTTTCTGAGCCCTCCTTGCACTGCCCCCTGTTAACAGGAGGACAATTCATGACAACTGGTACTATATGACCCTACCCAGAACATCTATGCCTTTCCAGGCCCACTCTCATACCCTTACCTGAAGCATTTTTTGAAGTTTATTTGTTCATATCACGCCTATATTTCCCCTTTTCTCCTCACTCCCCTGGCTAAATTAGCTATAAAAACAGGTATAATCATCATGCTCAACACAAACAAATGACCTAAAAAGCAGTCCTGCTTTCTGTGCCATGATGCAACCACAGTCATTGCACTTGCAATAGAATACTTCCACTGTATAAAAGTGGCCCTGAAACTGGTTGAGGATTGAAATGAATCTTAAGAACTACCAGAGAAGATTTGGCTGGGGTCTGGCTACAGCCAGTAAAGCACTCTACAACTAGGGCTGAAAAATAACATAGCTTGGGTCAATACCCATGAGAAGTTGTGATAGGGACTGTATCTTGCCTCAAAACCAGAAATCTGTCCCTGTGATTTTCTCAGCTCTAAACAGATATTATCTTCACTAGAAATTAGGGGAACAACTACAAGTAGAAACTCACTTCAACTAACAACATTGTTCCAGGGTTAACATAAGCTTTTTGGTTTTATTTTTGGTTTGCTTCTATTTTAAAAATTTCTGTTCTGACTCTGATTCAAGCACTTTTAGAACACCATCATACGTTTCTTCATTCCTATCCCCACCATTAGCATTCCCAGACATTGAGACTGAAACAGAGCTACCCTCTGCTCTACCCTTATGCATCCCAGCTGTCCATAGATACTTAAAGGCCACTGGCCAGGTGTTTTTGTCATAAATTCTATGTTCAACATCCTATTTTATGCACAGAACAAGCTTTGGGATTGATTTTGTCAAGGCATACTAACAAGCAGTCAAAAAGCCAGAAAGGGGCCTATCTAAATCTCTCTTCTCCAGCAGAGTATGATGGATCCCTAACCTAATGGTGCTACCACTCTTTCAGCATATTGAAAAATGTCACTCATTCACTCTGGGCCCATTTCTCCCTTCATATACATTGTGAACTGTTTTACATAACTGCAAAACACTCCCAGCTGGTATCTGCATGAGAAAAGAATGAAACATGTGGCACAGAGATGAAAAATTTCTCTAAGAGAAAATTTTTGCACTGTTAGCCCTTCATTCAGATGTTTAAAAGTACCACCAAATGCCATGGCTACTTTTTTGAAAGCAGTATGTAACCTGTGCTTTCCACAGCAGCAAAAGTACACAGCAGGCAACACAAGCACACAGCAGGCTTGTAGTCAAAGCCTTGCTTCCTTAGAGAAGCATGTTAAGACTCAAAATTGTCTCCTTTACACTGCGTATATATATTTAGACCAGCAATAATAAGTGCACTTTATTCAGACATTAAAAATAATGCCATAAGAAAAAGAGAAACTTCATGGTGCTGAATGGCTGTAACTTACACCTCTGCAGTCTAAAAGGTTTCAGCATCTGATCTAGATTGAACTTTTACCCTTATCCAAACATTAGTTGCCCACCTACTCATGCAATAGCTCTTTGCATGCCACCCTTAAGGAAAGGTCATTTACATTCTTATGCAAGAGACAGAGCAGACAACCAACTGTTTTTTGACATGGCTCCCTTGTGCTCTCTGTTTTTATGCTATTTTTACATGGAAATTCTTAAAATGCAGAAAACAGGAAATTTGTGCCGAGACCATTGATTTATGAACTAAAATGTCATAAATTCCTTGTTTGTTAATCATAGCCAGAACATAAAATATTTCCTGTGTTATATTTCTAACAAATTTTTTTCTTTACATGTTGCCAAGTGACTGGAAATTGAAATGTAGAGTGAAAACATTCTTGCATGTGTGTGAAAGTTTACATTCTAGGTCAGCAATATACTCTGACTTTTGGAGTTTGTGACAAAGTAAACACTTCAATGCGTCATTCAGATTGGAGACAAATTATTCATTTCATTGTAAGCCCAAGGACAGCCTGCAGACTAGGAACATAAATGTTCCTAATTCTATTTGGTTGTCTCCTGACTTGCTGTGAGGTGCCAAGTCCACTGCAGAACAGCTTCCAGCCTGCAAATAAGGCAGGGATGAGTAAAATGGGCTATGTTATATGCACCAGAACCACAAAACAACTAGCTTTCCACATATAGATCTGATTTTGCAAGCTCTAAAAGGCACACAATAACACATGCATGACTTTGAGCTCCCATAAAGCATTTCCCTCCCATAGTTCCCTGTCTAAACATGAATTACATGATTCTAAAATGCAGACTGATATTCTTTCTTTGTATGACAGAAAGAGCTGTGGCAGGTGTTCTGCTACAGCTGAGCATCCCAGGCCACCCTCGCAAGATAACTTGTGTTGGCTATCCTTTCTAAACTGTTGGAACAAGTCCAGAGGAGGCCACAAAGTTGATAAGGGGACTGAAGCATCTCCCCTATGAAGACAGGCTGAGGAATTTGGGATTATTTGGCTTGCAGAAGAGGAGGTTGCGTGGAGACCTCATTGTAGCTTTTCAGTATCTGAAAGGGCTACAGGGGAGCCAGAGAGGGACTCTTTGTTAGGAACTGCATTGACAGGACAAAGAGTAATGGATTCAAATTGAAGGAGGGGAAATTTAGGCTAGATATTAGGAAAACATTTTTTACTTCGAGGAAGGTGAGACACTGGCACAGGTTGCCTGGGAAGTAGTGGCTGCCCCAGCCCTGGCAGTGTTCAAGGCCAGGCTGGATGAGGCCTTGAGCAACCTGGTCTAGTGAGGAGGTGTCCCTGCCCATGGCAGGAGGAGTTGGAACCAGATGTTCTGCAAGGTCCATTCCAATCCCTAAAATTCTATGATTCTATGATGATTCTATGATTCTAATGTTCTCATTAAAAGAGCCAAGCAATTCCTCCAAAAAAGTGTCTTAACTTACTTCTAAATGCTGAAGTGAAAATAATGGTGATAAGTGACACCATAAGCATCCTCACCAAGCTGTAGTCCTCAGCATCTGACCCTCTGGGTAGAACATGTACAAAGGCAATACAGCTTTCTCCTGTACTGCTTGGTTCTCCTTCCTAATCAAAATGTTGAACTAGCTCAGATATGTGGATCACTTCACCTTTGGTCTCCTTGGAAAGACACCCAAAAGCATAGTAATTGCTACCATGCTGTTTACACTTCTCTGTTACAAAAAAAGAACATCCCTGCAAATGGTTTTCACTTGGGCAATTGCCTAAGCATTACAGAATGAATTTACTATTGACCTAGGGGTCAAAATTAATATCTATAACCTCAAGGAGAGATAGCTTCCAATGTAATTTTAGCTCTCTGACAGCCACTCAGTCGATTCTCCTGTATGGTATCATGAAGGCAGAACAAATTTACCTTCAAGCAAGAAACTTCTTAAAATTAGGTGACCTCTAGATGACTTTTTTCCTCAAACTGGGATGAAGCTGCCTGTTCCTTTGCATATTCCATGTAATGCTGAACAACACAGTTCCTACTGGATTTAAACGAAGCTTTTAGCAGTGCAAGGGTATCACAGTATGTTGGGGTTGGAATGGGCCTTAGAGACCACCTAGTCCCAACACCCCCTGCCCTGGGCAGGGGCACATTCCTACTAGACCAGGTTGCTCAAGGCTTTTTCCAACCTGGTTTTGAACACTGCCAGGACTGGGGCATGTGTAACTTCCCTGGGCAACCTGTTCCAATGTCTTACCACGCTCACATCAAAAAAACCTTCTTCCTAATATCAAAAACATGAATAAAACCATCATGTATGAAAATATCAATCCACATAGATCTAAATTCATCTTCTCTTGGACCTTGCATGGGGGACATGCTTGGATAGAGATGCTGTATGACATATAAATACAGCTTTCCAGACCTTGTTTGTGCAGGGATAACAACATAACAAGAGCAAAGTTATTATTGGAATGTACTAGAATGTGATCACTTCCAAATAAGGCAAAAAAAAGTTACAAAACCAATCTTATTACATGAAGAAATCAGATAATGAGTGAAGAAAACTTTGACTGAACAAAAGGCAATTATGTTTCCCTATGCATTGTCATCTTTGCACTCTAAATAACCACTAAATTTACAAACCTGTTTTCTTTTCTTTTTCACAGCAGGTTTGGAATCTGGACCTTGGTGTGCTGCTGTCCTGTTAGCACTTGCCTTCTCAATAGTTTCATCATCTGAAGCATCTAATGAGAAAAGAAGAGTTTTTGTTACTGTTTTTCAACTCCATCTATCTAATCTTTGCATGCAAAAATAGAGATAAAATCTTCAGTTGAAAGGTTGTCACAATAATGCAATCTCAAGATTGGCAATAAAGATGCTGTAACAGAATTTTTTATCCCTTTTAGAACACGGGTATTTGAAATTTATTCTAAAAAAAGCACCACTTTTCCCCTCATCTTCACAATATCACATCTGGCAGGCAACATATTTCTTTTCTTTCTGGAATGCTGCACAGTGGGTGCCAGCTGCAGGATCACAGGTAGAAATATCTGATCTTTCCAAAACCTCCCTTGAATTAAGCTAAGCAGTGAGCAATAAAAGAAGAAGGTTTTGATAAACTACATCTGAAGTCGCATGACATGTCTGCATATTATTTCAGAACAAGTTAAACACAATCTTAGCTCTGTAGTGCTACACTCACCACATCTAATTGCACACCTATCTCATTAAACCCCAAAACAAGCAATAGCATTGGTACTGAAGGCTGATGGCACTATGATCCATAAGATCACTGTAAAAATACATCTTTCTTTCTAAGTTTGCTGACAGAGTAAGTAATTTCCTTCTACTAAAACACATCTTGCAGATGAAGGAAGAAAAAAAAAATAAATCCAAGCAAGCACACACAAAAATGCACACAAAAATGCACACAAAAACCATCCCAGGCTCCACCTAGGAGCCCCAAATGCCTTGCTGATATCAATCAAAGAATAAAAATTACAAGGTAAGTATAATGTCCTATTGTATAAAAATATATGCACATATTTTCTGCAAGTACACTGTAATTGTATGTCTCTTACTTCAGTAATAATTAGACAAAGGCACCATTCCCAAAGTTTAAGCAAAATGTCCACTAGACTCAGAAGGGCTTATGTTTTGAAAGAAAAGTATTTAAATTCAGACATCTCTACTTATTCTCTTCATCTTTTTCATCTACAGAGAGACTTTGGGGAAAAATAACATGTACAACAGTGGTTCCCTCTAATAATGTTATACTAGTGCTTAAGATGTATTCAAACACAGATATTTCTGCTGGGGACTGAATTGCTTCCTGGATCATTGTCAGAAGCATTTACATCCATTGATTTGAATAATTCAGCTTCTGTATCTGCAATATTTCTGCTCAACAGGTACTTAGTCACAGTTGCAATCCCCTATATTCCAAAGTTGTAAATTTACATCTTCAAGATTATTTTGAATGAAGAGGAACAGAATTTCTTAAGCATCACTCCAAGTATAGAAGATATAATTACAAGAGATTTAGAAATAGAATGGCAACTGAGAATTTCTGTTCAGTACAACTAAGAGACTCTTAAGTGAAGAGGTTAGATAAACATGTTAATGAACTTAAGACCAAAACAAACACCACAGAAGAAATTACAGCACTTGTTTGCATCTCAATGTAAGATGAAGACATATTCTGAAATCTTAAATAGGAATCCACCAGGAAGAGCCCTTGCTTTCCAGATCTAGAGCAAATGCATGAATGTGTGAACCAAGTGAACACTGCATCTCAGCTGGTCTATTTGCTTCATTCTCCTTGCAGGCACAGCCATCAAATTGGCAGCTAAATGGACTGTGGCCACATGAGTGCTAGAGCCCATGTGGGTATATATGTCCAGTCCCATACAGCCCAAAACATGGCAATGGGTGAACAGGGGAGAAAAAAAAAGCTGAAGGTCTGTGAGACAAACAAATTTCTTCCTTATTTTACAGGTCAAGTATCTGTGTCAATCTACTAGGTTCCTCCCTTCTGTGTTCCTGAGGATGTCGAAGTGCTCTTGCATCACATGCCTGTCCCTGCACAGCAACAGCTCCTTCCCTGGCCTATTTCTCTCTGAAGTCACTGACCACTTATGTCCTCCAGCCACTTTGGAATTTCCAGATATATTACTTCATTAGAAGAAGCTGAAAAATTACACCATTCAGCATACTCCAGAAAGTTTAAAAGGTGTCTTGGTAACTCAGTGTTACCACTGGGCATTACCATGGGCTAGTTTCCCTCTGTATCACCCTTCCTCCGTCAGAATTACTGTGCTATATTTTTGTAGGGCAGCTTCTGTGCTGAAGGACCCATCACTGACTTCTGTCGTGTTTGCCCTCACTTCAGAGATAGTGGAGGAGTGGTCAGCTTTAACACACCCCAGCTCCACAACCCTGGGATCCTGGACACGCTACATCCAAGCAAGCTGTGGAGAGATGATAAAAATGAAGTACATCAAAGAATTCAGAATTGCCTCTTCATCCCTCCTGTTCACCGTGCTTGAGGTCCAAATGCCCATTTTAGAGTATATCTGTGCATGTCTCACTGAATTGAAATGCTGTGTGAGCTCTTTCCAATGTTTCACGTTGGAAATAAATTAGAATTGCATAAAAGAGATTCAGGGGAAGCTGCCTGTGATCTGTAAGCATTCCTTCTTAAATCCCACTTGGCATGGTCTGAAAGGCAAACAGGAGTAGTCTAAGTTTTAAATAACCTCTTCTCTTTCTCACAACTAAAAGACACACTGCTACCAATAGCAATCTAAAACTGGACAAATGGTTTCCATGATCTGAAATAGCCCAACAAACAATGTACCACCTGTTCACTGCCCATCTGAGTTTTGGATGGCACTTCATGATGCAATGTTCTCTGCTTTCAGCAAGAAGTGAGAGAAGAGGGTACAGACACACACTGAACAAACATCTGTGACAACAATTCAAACTTGAGCATCTTTCTGCAGAACCTCAATACCTTTATTTCATACAAGAGGAGAACTTATTTGTTCCACAAACGACCACTTACATGCTAGTCAAGAGAGCAGCCAGTTGCAAGCTGTGATTGTTTGTGACACCATGTCAGCTCCCATGATGACAGGAGCATTTTGTTGTGGGCATGAAAGTACCACAGGCCACACTCTGCCAGCCATGCTCACATTAAACCATGTACCTTTCTCTGCAAACAGTTACCTTGATGTCAGTGGGGTTATTCACAAAATAAATCATAGCTTGATGCAAATAAATGCAGAAGCTCACAGATCACAAACATGTCTGTAACAAACCAGCACTGTTTGCTCTGCTTTGAGGTGTCAAGCTTCCCAGGAGACTCCTCTTTGCCAGAACAGGAGAAAGCACAAATGCTTCCTTAATGATAAGGTGGCACAAATGCAGAGCCTAACTGATTAAAACAACATTGACTTTCACCTTGTTCAAGGTGCAAATGGGTGGTCAGGCAGGCCCTGACAGAATACACTGCTTGAAGGGGCAATGTTGTTCAGCACAGCAATCCTCTGCATCTGCTTTCCTGAGATGCACAGACTGTATACACCACAAGGTGGTCAGAGACATCAGAACCATCACGTAATGCCCTCTATATAGCAAAATGCATCTGAATTTCACAACTCTTCATACATTTTGCTTCAGTATTACATTAGCAGCATGGCACATACTAACAGGCTTCCCAGTCATCCAGTATTTATATTTGATTGTATTTTGAATCATGCAAAAATGAAAAAAGCCATTTCTGCTTAACACACATACAAGACTAAGACTTTCCCATTTATGATATCAATCACTATTTAAAATCATCCAGTGCAATAGTTCCTAACTTCTTTCATATTTAGTATTGATATATATGTATATGTTTAACTACCACATGTGTATTAATTCTATACATATAAACACCTGTATTAATACATACACATGTGAATGTTTATACATATGCACATGAAAAAGCACACAGATACTTAGATTATTTAACAGGCTCCCTTTAATCATCATCTTTACTAACTAATATAATCACAAAGAATGCATATTTGCTTGCTTATTTATACTAATTTTCTAAGGCAAACAAGACCTTAATGATATAGCATATAATGACATGTGCTTTGATGTGAATGCAATTTTGTTCATATAAAATAGCTAGTACAAAGAGATCTGCATTTGCTAGGCTGATTCACCATTACTGAGGCTTCTGACCTTCACATGCCACTTTTCTACTCTGAAGTTATTAACAAAGGACTTATACTGACCACAACATAAATAATTAATTGCTGTAAGAACAAAGGCTGACTGCAACAGTGAAACTCTTCTAGGCAGGACACCTCCAAAACCCCTCAAGTAAAGAAAAAGTTACATATGGGAAACTCCTTACAGGAAGAGAATATGAAGAGAACAGAAGGAGTTTTCTGAAAGAGAAAGGAGACAAGATGCTTACAGTTCTTCATAATATAGGAACAACGAACACATAATTAAAAAGAAAGCTCAGAACTGAAAAGTATTATTTTGCGTACATTCCCAAAGATAAGCGAGGCAGTAATTTCCACTGGGTGGTTTCTTGGTTTTTTAGGGGTTTTGGATCTAGAAGCTAAGTGAGATCAGGCATCTATTCAGTATCCAGAAGGCTCCCAGTGACACAGGGCAGTACAGGACAAGTTAATTTCTTACCGTTAAATTAATCTCTGTGGCAACATTTGGAAGGAACCTGTTTTACATGCCTATGAGAAGGTATCCCTCAATTTTTCTTTGACATATCTGGCACTGGCCATAATCAGAGACACACTCTGGGTCAGTTCCCATCAGGCCTACATATCAGTACTAAACTAGAATTGCATGAAAACAAAGTTTGTAAAAAATTTGTTATTGCCCCCTAGCCCCACATTCCCCCCTCCTGACTTCCATCCTCCTCTGACTGTTCTAATTTTATCTCATATCTGAAAGAAGTTTTTAAATAAAGCCTGGGATTTTTCCTGATCTTTAATAAAAAGCCCAGTGCACTGTGGAAATAGGCTTTATATTTATTATGCTCACTTTCTATATTCAGGTATGTTACAGGAAAGGGTAACATACCAGTGCTTGTCACTACTCTGTAGGTGGGTATAGTTCACTCAATTTGGGTGTGCTGAGCTGCATTAATTTCAGGCTGTTTTGCAGGCAGCATTTTTATTTATTGGGTGATTAAACAGTACTGATCTGTGTTCATTAA